TGATCGGGCAGTACTGCCTGTCGGCTCTGTACTTTACAGCCTACGACTTGCCACGGTGGGGGGAAAAGACTCGACCCAGAATCAGACTGATCTCATAGGAGCGCCTCAGCAGCCCTATCGTTCTGTCTTGCGACAGGCCGATCAGACAGTGGTGCCAGAGCCCACGCCTCAGCAACCTCAGGACCGTCACGAGCCTGTCGCACCTGCCGCAACTCAGCCATGTCGGATCTCAGCTCCCCTGAGAAACCTAGGAGTGACTCTAGTCAAGACATCAGCACACTGCTGTCATGGACGGAGGTTCACTCGCTGAGGTCTCCTTCACCAGCACACCGGGAGCAACCGCCAAGCACAGTGGAGCCTCTGCCGACGTCTCCAGAGCCGACAGCCAATCAACCGCAGGCTGCCTCTACGTCGCCCACGGCCTCTGCTTCACCCCAGACACAGCAGGAAGGTCACTCGCAGGTGGTGTGCATAGCCAAAAGATTCCGCGCCCGGAGCCAAAGCCGACAGCCTCAGTTGCCGCTTCAGTCTGTCTGCGCTTCAACTCAGGAACTGTCAGACCATCGCGACCACGATGCCAGACCTCCCACGCCTGCATCTCCTGCCCTCCAGCCTCAGCCAAAGCCCCTCCCCCTTCAGACAGCCGTGTGACGCTGCGCCCGACCCCTCCGTTCTCAATTGCATCAATCAAGCGGCCCCGCATGCCCTGGGCAGCTTCCAGGTCGCGCAGTCCACGGGGGAGACCCACATGTTCGGACTCGAGCCAAGGTCCCGCCAACGCTTCCTAAAGTAGTTCCATCCTTTTTTGTACCGGAGCCTCGGTGGTCGGGCAGCCTCATAGGTCCAGCACTGCCCAAGCCGTTCCCTATGCTCAGGCCGCCCCCAAGAAGCCTGCGATTCTGCCCACCCGGACCGCCAGCGCATAGACAGCCTAGAGTGCCAGTGACTTTCTCTGTCCAGGACCTCCCCTCAACCAAGGGGAGACAAGAAAAGAGACCTAGGCTCAGCCGCGCCCCACAGCCTACAAACGCCGTCCCCTCAGGCCACTACTCAGAGAACACCAGGAGTCAGCAAGAAAAGCGGCATGCTGCAACCAGTGGCGCCAGCTTCTGGAGATCCTGGGCCCTGAATACAGTTCTCTACAGCAACACCTCCTGAGCTCCAAGCACCCCAAAGCCCTAGCCGCCAAGAGCCTCGCGCCTTTCACAGCCGGCACAGTTGAGCGCTATCTTTCTTCAGCCCGTCAGTTCATCGACTACTTGGCCTTCCACGGCATCGAGATGGCAGCTCTGACCACAGCCCAGTTAGCCGACTTTTTGTACCCGTGTGAACAAGGCCTAGAGGAGGACAGGGAAATCTGTCGCCTCGACCCGAAGTCGGCGCTCAAGGCCCTTTCATGGGTGTCACGGACAGCCGGCTTATCGCCTCTCTGGACCATCCTGCAGGACAGCCTCATTGTGGCCTTCCGTTCCCAAAAAGTCGCAGATAGGCGCGAAGCCTTGCCTCTCCCCCTGGCCGTCGTCGTGGCCTGGGAGAGACGCCTTTGTGAAGCCGACTGCCCAGCCGACTTGTGCATTCTTCTGGGAGGATTCCTACTTGCCTTGCACAGGGGCCTAAGGTTCGGGGATCTTCAAAGGATTCGCCTATCTAGCTTATCTCTTACCTCATGAGGAATCTGCTGGCAGACCCAAAACAACACGCCAAGGCCAGCCGTTTGCAGTTACCCTCACGGGAATCTCTGGGAGGTCGGTTCAGAGCCTGCGGGTGCTTCCTTTCCTGCGCGCAGTTCAGGCCGCCTGGATCAGGACAGAAAAGGCTTATTCGCAGCCCCTCTGCCCCGACTTCATACTCAAACCTGGAAAGAGCCAACCCTGCCGATTCTGCATACCACAGGCCTATGTCATACAGCCAGAGCCTCAGCGCCATGCGCTTTGCCATGGGAGTTCCTTGGCAGCACTCTTCCCACCAGCCCTCACCTGTCTCGCCCGAGGAAGCCATGGCTTTCACGCTAGCATGCGCGGATGGATGGCGACCCACGAGGCCCATAGCCAGAGGAGGGCAGCCGCCTACATTGGAGCCGCCGTTTGACGTCCCCAGATCCACTCCGCCTAGCAAATTTCTGCTGGAAGCCTTCGGAGAGGGCCTTTCGCGCTTCATCTACTCCAGAGAGGCAGAACTAGAAAGGATTGTCCTATCGGAGGCCAAGGAGGACACTCAGCCTATGACGGAGGAACCAGTGGAAGCAGCCTCTTCCACGGCTGCCATACCAGACGATGATCATGAAGCCCTGCTAGTCGCGCGCTTCGCTGCGGAACGTGATTCTTCATCTGACTCAGACCAGCCCAAAGATGCTGAGCCGAGCGTGCCTATAGCCTTCAGCTTATATTCCGAAATGGACCTTGGGGGTGCATACATGCCTGCCTTGAAACCTCGGACAAAGCCGCGTGCGGCGCCATGCGCTCTGCGGCAGCCTTTAGCCCCTCCGAGCCAGATCCTACATTTTTCTGCCGCAGGAAAGCCTGCGCGAAGCTTCTGGACTCCTGGGTGTGATAAAAGCCGTTCCGGAAGAGCCTCATAAGCGAATGCACGCCCAGGTCTGTTCGCCGCAGCATACCCGTCAAGTTAGCGTTCGCATCCGANNACCAACCTCTGAGCTGGCAAAGTTTTGAAGGACCATGCGGTCCACGATGTGCTAGCCCACGCCTTGGCCCTCAAAGGCCTAGAGACAGTGGACGATCTGGCCTACGCATATCCTGAACTGGCCAGCCTCGATAGCCTATTTTCAGGACTCTCGGAAGAGGACATGGGTGACATGGGAGCGGTAGACCCCCTGCACGGAGTACAAGCAGCCAAGCTCCGTCGGGCCCTTCGTATAGCTCATGGGGTATCTCAACAAGCCGCGCAGCCGTCGCCTACGCCGGAGCCTCT